TTTCCATGTCAAAAAAGTCACAGTTTGTTGTAAAACTGTTGAAATATAAGACTATGAAAAATACTCAACTAGAAAGACTACAAATCCCAGAATCCCAGTCCCGCATGCTGGCTCTTAGGAACCGACTCACTCCCCTTGTGTGTATGTACAGCTCTCAACGTGCCCAGACTTGGAGTGATTTTCACCTCTTTTAATACTTTTCACCTCATTCTGAAAGAAAGAAGTGAAATGTGCCAACGTGACGGCCGTCTTGGTGTGTGGTGCGAGATGGGAGATGTAGTTCATTGAGCGGTTTCACACAAACAAAGTGTTACGTCACAGTTTTAAGACACATTTACATTTTTTTGACTTGCAAAATCATCTTTTAAATTCACAAACATCATATGTGAAATTTGTGGCACAATTCAAACGGGATCGAAAGATAATCTTTCTCTCCATTGACTTCAATACATACTTTTTCAGAAATAAGCTCCCATGGAGCTCCCCCGGAAAGGGAGGGGCTTCGCCTCTCTATAAGTCTTTTAATCTTTCCTTAATTGCCCTGCGAGGATCAAAACATTTCTAAATCTAAAAGCACAATTGTCAAGCTTTTAAGGGCCAATGATTAACTTATTTTGGCAAATGAACAGTAGCCTATTCATACAATTAGTTATACAAATATATATACATACAAATGTTTTATATTTAAAAAAAAAAAGGTGTTGTAGTAGTACAATTTCTCGTCTTAATTTTTGTTATCTGGATATAGAGAACATTCTAATCCCTTAATGTGTTCATATTTACTCAGAAATACCCAGTATCTGTTTTCACCTAAACACCTTTTCCCTGGTTGTAGAAACTCTGTTGGAGCGATGCATACAGGGATATAAATACAACAGTCTCTTGTGAAACATCAGAAAGGTTCAAATCTCTCCTGCTTGTCGTTGATTCTCAGGTCTGATCGATGTGCACGTCCACCTGCGGGAGCCCGGGGCCGAACACAAGGAGGACTTCTCCTCCGGTACGGCTGCTGCTCTGGCAGGAGGTTTCACCATGGTGTGTGCCATGCCCAACACCTCCCCCGCCATCACCGACGCCAACACTCTGGCCCTCGTACAGAAGGTAAGACCACGTTCAAAATGATCCAAGACCCCCTGTGATGCCATGTGTGAAGTACAAGGGTACGCAACAACTAGGAGGTTGAAAAATGTGGATTTTAATAACCCAAAATATATATATACAGTTTTTAGGATGGGTAACGAAATCAATTTAGATAAAAAAAAAAAGGTTCATTAGATTTCATATAAACAGATCTTGTTAACAATCACTAAATTAAACAAGATTGCGTGCACTCAATTTAGAAAAATAAAGTAAAAAATGTGTGCATGGATGATTTTAAATAAAAAAACAGCACGATGTGTGGTTGGTGTGAGGCTTCTAGTTAAAGCCTTCACAGCATGTATTTAATCAAAGTTGACTGAAGTCTTGTGTTCCATGATCACTTATATTCCACACACTCTTGCATTTTGCTGTAACTCCATCATATACAATGTTTGTTTTTAATCTGTGAAGCCCACCGAGACAAGCGTGTTTTGTGATATTAGGCTAACAAATGAAGTTTGATTTGATTTGAACTTCAGCTGGCCAAAGCGGGCTGCCGCTGTGACTACGCTCTGTACCTCGGCGCTGCTTCAGATAACGCCGCCATCCTGCCGTCCATCGCCAGCCAGGCGGTGGGTCTGAAGATGTATCTGAACGACACGTACTCCACTCTCAAGATGGACAACGTGGCTCTCTGGATGGAGGTAGGTCTCACCTTGTTCATGTTGCAAATGGACCTGCTGTGGTGCAAGAAGAAATTCAGACTTAATTGGACAATCGTAATATCTTAGTGTGGTATATTTTTAAACCGTGACAAACCACTTTAGTTTACAGGTTTTCTATCATTGTAGTTATTATGGGACTTTTCTTAATCTATTAAAAGGGAAAATAGGTGTCAGGATTTATAGATTTGTCTTTTTTAGTGTTTAAATCTGTTTCAAATTAAGTAAATTGTAATTTGGCGGAGAAGTGTTTTTTTCCCTTCTCATGTCTTTGCATTTTGGCATTTCCTGGAGCCACTGTCTAAAACCCCCTAATATCTCCATTAGCATGTGCCTCCAGTATCCCACCCTGCCCACTAAACTCTCTCTGTTTCTGGTTGCAGCACTTTGAGAAGTGGCCGAAGCAGTATCCCATCGTGGCTCACGCTGAGAAGCAGACGGTGGCTGCCATCCTGATGGTGGCTCAGCTCTACCAGCGGCCCGTCCACATCTGCCACATCGCCAAGAAGGAGGAGGTAAAGTGCTGTTTCTATTTAGTAAGAGTGCAATATTGGTGGGAGTTTGGTTAGATAGTGTGGAGGAAATTCTTAAGGCGAGACACTACAGGTGAATCGGGTAATTTTTTTTTAAAGATATCAGCTATACATTCCTCCAGTTAATTACTTACATTTAGACCAGGGGTGTCAAACTCAAGGCCCGGGGGCCAAATCCGGCCCGCGACTTCATTTCATGCGGCCCCTCAAGAGCTTGCAAAGAATATAATATGTTTATTATACGGTTACATGCCGATTTACAGAAGCACGTTGCCCATAAACTACATATCCCACAATGCATCTCAATTTTGACTTTTTTCTCAGAATTGTTTTTTTTTTTAAAATCATTTTGTAACATTCTCACTGAAGAGGCTTGCAATGATTTGCCCTAGACTTCTGCTTTCAGACGTAGTTAATTATGAAGTTATTACCCTATCCGATAATAATCCAATGCAGAGGAAATAATGTCGAATAATACATTATTTTATATTATTAAATATTTATATACATATTTTGATATATGTCTTAAAGTTACAACCGGCCCGTTGAGTGCTACCATGATGCTAATGTGGCCCGCGAAGAAATTGAGTTTGACACCCCTGATTTAGACAATTGTTTTTTGTATTACAAGTTTTCTGAAATAGTTTAAATTCATGTTCGGGGTCATTTTCTTTTTTTGTATAATCTTGCTTCGTGCAAGGGACAATTTTTTGTCTTCTATTTGAACGTTTTTTTCGCCGATCTTTTGCCATTTTGAGATTTACATTTCCAGCGAAAGCTAACCAGGAAGTGTTTTAGCACACCACGTGACACATCCGAACGAATCACGTTGTCAGAAATTGACACCAGCCAATGAGATTTTGTTTCTTGGTTTAAGACCCCTTTGTACTTTCGCGATTGGTTGCTGATACAAAGGAAACGACCATATTTGGATCCGAAAAATTGAGAGACAGAGCTTTCCAACGATACCTCTGATTACATGGTGCAAACAGCGTTCGCGGTACATCAGCAAATAGACAAACTTTAGTAAAAATAAACACCTAAATGTGTATTTTGTACGTTTTCCTTCCAAAAGCCTGAAAGAAAACCATGTTATGGAATCAAAATAGCACTAAATTGACCAGTGCATGAAAAACAATGTTTTTGCCTGCCGTGTCTCGCCTTAAAGGTCCCATGTCATGGCCATTTCCACTGATCATAATTCCATTGTTGAGGTATACTAAAATGAAAAATACTGTGCAATTTTTCCAAACTCACATTGGTTTCTCATACAGCATCTCTGTAAAGTATGTGTATTCAGCAGTATTCACTTTCTCCACTAAACGGCTCGCTGC